CTCCAACATTAGAAGAGATTATTATATATGTGGTTATTCAGTATTTGTTTATAATATATGTTGGTGAAGGTGCAAAAAAGTTTCAGTGAAAAGAGAGGTGTCTCTGAAGCTGGAGGGTATATTTCTTTTTTTTTTTTCTTGCTTTCCTTTTTTCAAGGGTTGCTTTAAAGAAGGGACTTTAAAAGAGTGAAGAGTGCAGCAGATACTATGAAAAAGCATAACTAAAACCACGCACACACACAAAGACAGAGAGGTATGTGTTGATCTTTACATGTGTTGTATAGTATTTTATATGGCGTCGCTTCAATCTTTGAATTTGAACCGGGTGATCATGTAGAGATTCTTTATAAGTAAACTTGCTTTCGCTCTCTCCACCATCTTAGTTTAAGATCACAAAGCTTAGTTAATTTCTTGGGATTTTCAAGATCCCTCCACCCTTTTCCCTTTGCTCTTTCCAATTCTTTTATGTTAATTTTTATTTAACAAAAGGTGTTTAGGGTATCTCCGGCAACAATATATATATTATAATCTTTCATTCATATAGACTTATGGAGTCTGCAAATTTCCACCAACAACATCACGATCATCAGCCTCTACCGGACTCTTCTTGCTATGGACTTTCTTGGTCCCAAAATCCCATTTTGTAAGTTCCCCACCCTCTATCTATATATTGGTTTCTATATTTGGAAACTTAGGTTTGTTTTTTTTTCCATTCATTAATGCGATTAAACTCTACACCAAGAAATCATTCACCAATATCGCAAGTTTCTAACTTTTTTATAAACTTGTTCATTATAATGTAACTTCAGCAATTTCTTTTTAGGGTTTTGACACAATTCCAAATGTACTTTTGAAATAGGAACAATACGAGCAATGATACAAACTCAAGAGATCAAAAGCAACACCTGGGCACTACTCCTATGGTACATGAGTTGGGATTACCATGGAATACCAACAACAATAGCAATGTGACAAGCATTAATAATCCTATTGAAAGCTTCATGACCCATGAATTGCGGCGTCTGGGAAGAAGCAAAGATGAATTCTCAGGCTCAGAATCATATCCAAAATTTACAGAAATGATAAACAGTAGCCCAACATCCAGTATCGAAGATATGCAGTTAAAGCCTGATGTGTTGTTTAGAACATTCTCGAATGGGTGTCAAATAAAAGGAGGACAGCAGCTTATAGATCAGTTCCCAGATGATAGTTCAAATTATCATTACCAAAATGGTTCTAGTCGAAGTGCATCAAGAGGGAGTTTTAGCCAGATTTTTCCGTCGATAAATATTTCAAATTTGAATCAATCCCCAGCAAATTCTTTTGATATGAACTTGCCTGCTTTGGATCTGTTTGGTTCGCCAAGATTTAATGGGACCTTTAGCCATCCTTCTTCATTCAATCCTCATCAACTTGGAAGCTTTTTCAAAGACACTTGTTTGTCATATGGGCTTGATCAGATGCATCAACCTCATAGGCCAGCAATTTGCCCTACTAAAGTGAGTTTCTTTTCTCTTTATCTTAATTGTCTCATTCATTCATTCAATCTATTTTTATTTTATTTTTTAATATAAAAAACACAAAGGAGAAGAGATCCAAGCCTTCATAACCTAGAGATTATTGATGTAAATCTCTTTCTTAATTATCATGTCTTTATAATTAGTGTTTTTTGGAATCTTTTTTAAAAAAATATATATATATTTTCTTTAATTAGGTTAACCTAGACATTAATTATCACTTTATCAGTTTAAATCTCTTCATTATCATGTTTTTATGTACGGTTTTCTGAGTCTTTTTGAAAAAATTATTTGTTTAGGTTAACGTAGAGATTAATTATTTGTTTAAATTAAATCATTTCATTGTCATGTCTTTATTGTGAATTTCCAACTCTTTTGAAAAATGATTTTTCTAGGTTTTAACCTAAAGATTATCAGTTTAATTAACTAATCTCTTTATTTGATGTCTTTATATATGGGTTTTTAATTCGCTTTAAAAAACATTATTTTTTTATGCTAAATTTTTCGTTTTTATGTTTTCTAACACTCGCATTTAATTTCTTTTCATTTCTTTTAACTTTGTGACAATGAACGAAATTTATTTCCTATATAAAACAGTTTCAAGAATTTGAACTTCTATATCCAATAAAATTTTCAGTCTAAGATATGGTTTTCCAGATTCTAAAACAATAATGTCAAGTCTTTTCTAGGAAATGCTAGACATCGAAGACTTTATCTTCCCTACTTTTTTTGTAACATTTCCCACTTTTTTCGGAAATTTTTTGTCCTAAAACAAGTAAAAGTTGCCTTTTCTTTTCTTTCCTCCTCAAATGATACCTTCAGCTTTATACATCATCTTCATTTCTTTACTTTGATTCAGGCGAAAATGCAGTCTTTAGTTTAGACATATATAGACTCTTTGACAAGATTTATGATGATTCAAAAGTTGAAACAAAACTGTATAGCTTCAGCTGTTCAAACTTTGTTTCAGATATCATCAGCCTTCAACACTAGTACTACAAGTTGTACAGAAGCAAAGAGACCAGCTACCAATTACATGGACACAAAGGCTCCTCAATCCACACTACCAAAGAAATCAAAAATGGAGCCGCGTGCCTCTTGCGCACCTTTTAAGGTAATTATATAAACATTCCATATTTAGAAACCTCTCTCTTTATCTTCTACGGAGTATAACTTCCATCATGAGATCGAATTCACTTCTGAATCTCACGATCGAGTTTTTCAATTCTACACATATATATGATGCAGATTATATTCTTAAAACTTTGCAAATACATTAATTCTCTATAATTAAAATTACAAGGAAACTGCACATTTTGGTGATAAAACTAAAATCTATATAGGACAAGTAAAGTTGCTATCAAAATTCCCAAAATAGAAAACGCAGTTTTTCCCTTTTTCTTTCGTGATTCGGTCTTCTATTTATCCTAGCTTTGATCAGACAGCTTCTAATGTACTGTTTTTTGAACAGCCAAAAACAAAATTGTTTGTGTGTGTGTGTGTGTGTATGTGTGTGTGGATTTTTGGTGATCTGAGTTGGAGTATAAACTGTGTTTGAATCAGGTTAGAAAGGAGAAATTAGGAGACAGAATTGCAGCCCTTCAGCAGATGGTGGCACCTTTTGGGAAGGTAGTGTTTTATGTCTTCTCCCATCACTTAAAAGTTAGTATATAGTAGCTTTCTTAATTCTGCAGTAATTTATGTTAAAACTAACTATAATAAACTTCAAGACTAAGTTATTTTCTTTTTTATATATCCATTTAAATTCTTTATACATAAAACCCGACCCGATTTCTTTAATGACAACAAATTAAATCCTTTTTCCTTTACTTTCTCATTACTATATCCTGGTTTATTTGCTGAAAAAATAAGAGAGAGAGAGAGAGAGAGAGAGAGAG